GTAAAAGGTCTTCCGCCAATACGAGATCTGCAAAGAGACTTGTATCGACAGGAGACCTGTAAAAAAATATTATTTATAACCCATTGTAAGGTGGAACATTACACTGTTTAATATATTTTTATATGTGTTGGGGGTATTATAAGTTTGATTGGGCCAAAAATTATGTAACATCTCGAAATATTGGTTTCCCACATAGGAAAGTATATATGGATCTTCATATCTCGCCGAGCTGAGTCGAACTAGCTATGTATGTCCGTCCGTCCGTCTGTCCATGTTAATTTGTAATCACTCTACAGGTCGAAATTATGGCCCGATCTTCACGAAATTTAAAATGGAGATGGGGCTAGGACCAGAATAGAACCTATTGATTTTGGAGATGATAGAATAATATTTATGGGTCGAAATGGACCAAAAACTGAAAAAAATTCTGATTTTGCAGTTGCTGTACAGGTCGCAATTATAGACGAAGACGCCGAATTTAGCATGGGGCTAGAGCCTAAGGCTGGGCAGAAGTCTTCCAATTTTGGTGGTCATCGGGTAATATTTAGTGGATAAAATAGACCATAACATTTGTGTCAAATAAAATTCAAATTTTCCATTAAACCGCGAATATTTTTAATTCCGGCGAAATTACAAATAGAGGAACAGGTCAATCTTTACCGTTACGTAGATGCTGATAGTAAATATATCGAATATGTATAGCGAAATATATACAATGTATATATACAAAGGAAGGGGATGTTAGTTAGAATGCTTATATCTCAAGAATGGCTGGACCGATTTGGACAAATTTTGTTAATTCAGAATGCCCTCTTGGCATAAAAGCATAAAATCTAAAAAAATCGTATAAATTTTATTTTTATTATTTTTTCATATTTTTAATCGCATGCGAATGGATTTGGACATAAGGGGCTTCTAACATATTGTAATGTTGTAGGGTATCACATGGTCGGCCCCGCACGCCTATAGCCTTTGCTTACTTGTTCTAAATTACAGAAAAAATCCAGCAGATTATGAAAGTAGAGCTAAAAATAGATGTTACATGTATCGGAAGGGCAAGTTCTACTCACCTTGGCATATTTTAAAAATTTTGAATTTCTTGGAATCTGTTCATTATACCTTACACCACAAGGTGGTCAGGGTATTATGTCTTTGTGCATTTGTTTGTAACAGGCAAAAGGAAACGAGATAGACCCATAGTTCCTTTTAATGATCTGCATAGAATCACTTTCTGAGTTGATTTATGCATGTCAGTCCGTCTGTCCATGTATTCTTGTGAACAAAATGCAGGTCGCATTTATTATCCGATTGAGATGAAATTTTGCACAAATCATTTGTTTGGTCCAAGGACGAACCCTATTGAAATTGGAGATAATCGGTTAAAATTTATATATAGCTCCCATATATATATTCGTCCGATTTGCCTTTTATTGTGCACCAAACGTGTAATATCAGCCCTAATAGTATGGAATTTTGTACATACAACCAAATTAGGCCTGAAAATAAGTATGCCAAATTTGATCGAAATCGGTTCATATATAGCTATAGCTCCCATATATAATGTTCATCCGATTTGTTATTTTTGTCCTCCCAAGCCGTAATACGCACTCTGTAACAACAATATTTGGGGAAATATATCAAATACAGCTCAGAAATATATTTGATAAATTTTATCGAGATCGGTTCAGATTTGGATATAGCTCCCATATATATCTTTATCCGATTTCAAATTAATTGTGTACCAAATGGGCAATACAATTCCGAATTTAAAAATGCTTTGGCATATTTAGTCCCATTATAATCATAGCGTGTATGATTGAATTCTCCCATAAAAACTTGTAATTGTTATGCGGAGCTCTACTAAATTAGCAAGCGAAGGGTATCATAAAGTCGGCCCTCCCGACTTTAAGACTTTCTTTACTAGTTTTATTAAACGTTGTTTTCTTAGATTTTCATTTCTCTCATTTTAACCATCTCTAGTCTGACCATTAAAAAAAATTCTGATACATAAATTATATTTGGGAGTCTTCTCCTCGTTATGTTATGACTTCCAGATGAGGATACCAACCATTTTAAGGTATTTTGAATTTTTTTTGAAACATATTCCATCTAAGTTAGTTATAATTTGCTATTTGGGGTATTCATTAAAAATGTAAACTCTACATAAAAAATTTCGGTGTCGTCCGAAATTGGGTATTTTGAAGGGTTTTACCCCACTTCCCAAGTATATTAGTTTAAATTTAGCATTGGAGGTTCTTATTAAGAACGTCGGAAGAGATTTTTGAAATCAGTCCGCCATATATATACCCGAAGTCAGGTTCTTTCTAGATTTTGGACTCATTTTCCAACGGAATTAGCAATAACTTTATATTTGGGGTTCTCCGATTTTGGGTTTTTTAAATCGAGTAGCAAATTGTGCTCAACCAAATTTGTCTCATTGTAATATTTATATCAGACTCAGGTCAGGAGCGAAAATGAAAAATGTCGGCCATTTGAATAATATTATTTTGAATAATATCTCTCAAAAACGTGGAATTAGAGTTAGATTCTTTCAAAATATAAATATCTCGGTATCCCAGTCAATAGGGGATCTTTTGCGGAAATGACATATATCGACCCATTCTAAAGGAATATATATGTCCAAGGATGGTTTTGCATTTCGCACATGACATCTCATTCTGGTACCTCTCTCAGAAATGGTAAAAGTTTTTGATAATCATGACTTTTATGAAAGTCAAAAAAAAAAAAAGAAAAAAAAAAACCCTGATTTAAATCAGACTGCTACACAAATATTAAATCACTCTCCATGTCTGCGATCCTGTCCAAACTTGGTTGCATTTGAATAAAGCCAACTTTGGCCATTTTGAAAATGGAAAAAGCTGGTTTACTCCTCTTGAAAATATTTCTCAAAAATAATCTGAAGAGCCTATTTTTTATCCAACTTCAAATATATCTCATTACTGCCAATATGATGTTTAGTGTGAGCATGGGATATATCGGTCCACTTCCCCTGTTATCTTCTACAAAATAGACGAAATGCAGAATTAAAAATTTTATAAAAAATTGAAGGGAGTTTCGGATTTTGATGAAATTTTGCGGATCCTAATATTTGCAACAGACTTCTCAGTTGTAGGAATCGGTGATATCGACAAATTTTTACACAAATGGCTTTTGGAAAATAAATTAGTGGATCAATGTTAATAATATATTGGTCCACTTATAAGATTATTAAAACCAAATCATACCTGAGGGTCACATGTTGAGGGGACTTAAAACAAGTTAAAAAAAAATCTCGGATTTTTCAACACAAAAAATTTCGAAAAGGTAAAAAGGGGCACATTACGCAAAATGTAAATGAAAATTATAGCTGAATCCCAAACTTTGCCTAAATGCAGTGATATGAAGATTTAACTGTTTCTGTTTTGAAGAAAAAAAACATTAGTTCACTTAACCGGCGTTAGACATAACACAAATCTCAAAATATCAGATAATATCAAACTCCGTCCAAAGTCTTAAAATCGTAAAAAAAATCGAAAAACTATGGTTTGCTTAGCCGGTGTTGGATATACTCCAGAGGAAAAAATCTTAAGGTATAAATTAGGGAGGTTTTGTTATTTGTGGTCTAAATGAAGACGTGGACCTACATAGGTAATTTTCCGTGATAGGTGGTAATACCCATTACGAGCTTCTAAAGTGAAATTGGAAACAATTCCGGTCTATAATGTCTCTAAAATCGTTAAAATAGCGAATACCGAGGATATCGTTGTATGGGGGATATACCATATCTTGGACCTATATAAATAATTCTCTTCCAAGGTATACCGTACTCAGAAGGAACATCTGGTGCGGATTTTCAAAAAATTCCATTGGAAAATTTAGCTAAAATCATGAAAATATCGAATATTGGGAGTTAACTTTATATAGGGCCAGCGCTAAGACATAGACCTACATAATTTTTTGTCATAGGTTGTAGTACCCATTAGGACTTTCATATACGAAATTTAAAACAATTCCATTAAATGATGTCGCTAATATCATCAAAATATTGAAAAAGGGAGGTGTACGGAGGGAAGAATACGAAGACGTTGACCTGCATAGACAATTTTCTGTCATAGGTTGAAGTAATTGTGAAACAATTCAGGTCTATAGTGTCGCTTAAATCATCAAAATACCGAATATTGAGAGTTACTGTATGTATACGAAGACCTGCATACGCAATTTTTTGTCAGAGGCTAAAATAATCAAAATACCAAATATTGGGAGGTACGAAAACGAGGATCGACATTACCTATTTACGAACTTAACCTTCTTACTGCCAAAACACACATGTGTGCAAAATTTTATCTTTCTACCTCCATTCTTTCGAAAGAATACAACAAGGAGGCATACAGACGTCGCTAAATCGACTAAGAATTTTACGATGATCAAGAATATATCTACTTTGTTGGGTCTGACATAAGTATTTCGAGGAATTACAAATGGAATGACAAAATATACCCTCCATAGTATAGTGGAGGATTTAAAAATAGTTATTAGGAGGCAATATGTCAGCTATAACAAGGGCCTTTTGTCGATTTTTTGAAAAAAATAAATATTAGTTAGCTACAACCTCCGAACTTGTAAACCCCCCATCACATGACTTCATGTTGAAATGGTATTTCCACAAGCTTAAAATGAATTGAGTTTTTCATAAACTTCTTTAAATCAGGGTAAAAATTCTTTCATCTGGAAAAATATTTAAAAAACCCAAGACCGCAAACTGACTAATACTTTCTAAATTCTTACTTTTTTCTGATAATTTAGAGTTTAGAACATGACGAAGTTCAATATAGGCATAACGGCTTAAATTTATGCAAAATCCACCTCCATAATTAAATAATTTTGTATTCCAGCTTCATATTTACACAGCCATTGAAAACAACAAATCCAGTTAATTGATGACTTTTGAATATTTTTCGTTTGCCGTCTTCCAGCAACTGTTGACAACAAACAATACTCACCTATCCAACTTTGCTTTCTCAGCTTTGGCAAAAATCAAGCCATTATTATCCGCATACACACACACACCAGCGACAGACAGCGAACAAAACTACTACCGATTTCGAAATAACTTTAAAACTCGTCAGAAAGCGAAATGAGCGCACTTCCAGTAAGGCAGCAGCGTCGTAGTTACAAAAAAAATTTCCTCCTCCTTTATTGTTTTATAAATAATGGAGGTAGATGCGGACGCGTCGTTGTTTGATGAGGTGAGGAGGAGATGGGGTGGCGACCGCGACTATTAAGGAGACAAAAACAACAATAACTGGATTGTCGGCAAAAAAGTATCTTTCTTTGTTGTTGCGGTTGTGTTTTCGTATTTTCGGGAATTTCGTTAACACTCACACGCGATATATTCTGAGCTCACGTTTTGCAGATGTGACGACGCTATGTTCTGCTTTTCTACCTCAGAGAGCAACAATGCAACAGTAACAACAAAAAACCGACAACGTTTAATTGTTAATTTTATTTTTTTTTTCTTCAACGAATATTTACGGTTGAAGTTTATAATATTTTTTTTGTTTTACTTTTTTTCCAGATAGCCACAAAACTTGTTTTAATTCTCTTTAGTTTTACTCTTTACACTAGGTATTCGAATTGTTTATGGTTTTCGTATAGCGCAGTCCAACACGGTTCTTTTATTTATTTATGTTTTATTGTCCGCCGCACAAACTTTTTTCACTGAACTTCAAACTCGAACTCACGCAACGAAAAGTTAAACATCAACTGAATGAAAACACGGCAACAATTCAGCGTTTTTGCCAAGATCACCACCGCCAACAAACAATGCTCTCTCTGTCGTGGGGGATTCTCTTTTCACGACTCTCTCTGTTGGTGAGTGTTGCCAAAGCTCCCCTCCCCCTGAGCATCTTTCGTAGTGTTTTCTTTGAGTCGTGTGAGTTTATTATTGCTTGTTATCGTTGTTGTTGTCGTGTGGCTCCAAAGAAATGGAGAGTAAACAGGAAAAAAAGAGGCAATGATTTAAAGGTGCAAAATTTGGAAGTGTTGCTAACCCAATATTTCGTTATTCGAATTCGAAAAAAATTGAAACAAATTGAAATTGAACAAGCTGTTTTCATTTTGCCTATGGAATATAGAATTTGGTGAGGATATATTTAGATTCCCCATAATATGATGATAATAAATTAAATTTGCATCTTCTGTTCTATGACTCAACACAGACCTAATTGTTACAACCTTTAAAGAAATAGGCTCAAATCTATATATACCAAATCTGTCAAAAATTTTAAATTTTGAAAATTCAGCTGTGATTGCTTCGATTGGGCGTACATTTTGCAATATTAGGAAGGCCTGACATCCTTTACAAATGAATTTCGAATAATAGTCAAATTTGGATGGGCCTATATAGCCAACGAAAGCATGAAAATAAAATGGTCTTTAAAATCCAGTCATGGAGAAAAACATTGGGCGCCATAAGCATATATCCTGGATCTCTATAAAATGTGTGTGTTCGAGGTATACATTCATATGTATATCATTATATGGGGGCTAAACGAAGACGTGGATCTGTATGAGCAATTTTCTCTCATAGGATGTAGTACCTATTAGGAACTTCAAATTCCGAATTAGAAAAATTTTCGGTGAAAAGTGCTATCAAATCATCAAAAGAGCGAATATATTTAGATATAATATGACACTATACCAAAACTTAGACAGGGTGAGATGAAAAAACTGCAACCAACTTCAGACTGCCGTCATTTCCAAGCCACTCGTCCCCCAACTGGTAGAATTATTATATTTTATATTGTTTACAAGCGTACAAAACATTTTAATGAGAATTTTCCAAAAAAAAGTTATTCGTGATGGAATTCAAGCGAGATAGTGTGATTTCCTTATATTTGGCTGGAAAACCACAAGTGGCATTTAAATGTGAATAAATCTTTTGTTTCTCGTACCATCGCTCATTATCGTGATACTGGCAGCGTAGCCCCACGTCAAGGAAACCCGCGTAGCAGTACTTAGCACGCGCCACCCAAGAATGGTTACAAAATGATGTTCCTCGCTTTATTTCCAGCGCACAATGGCGACCAAAATCTCCGGTTACCAATCCGTTGGCCTATTGTGTCTGGAGTATTGTGGAAAACAAGGTTGGCTCTAAAAATACCAAAGTGTCGATCACCTCAAGCAAGCGCTTCACCGGGATTGGGCGGTTTCATTGGTCGTTTGAAGGCCATAATTCGTGCCAAAAGTGACCAATTTGAACAAATCTAGACTTATTCTAAAATTTGATCCTATTTCCGACATATTTTATCTTTCTTTCAATAACATTTAAAAAAAATGTTAAAATTATGGCGTTTGACTTTGTTGCAGTTTTTTTATCTCACCCTGTATTGACAGTTCTATGCAAGGATAATTTTCACATAGTGGAACACAACTCCAGCAAATTCTGGTAAAAATTGAGAAAAAACATCCATAAAAACTTTAATCTGTCGGTACAGTTAAATAGATGCTATACCAAAACTTGGACCTATATAGCCCATTTTCAATACCTAAAATCCAGCAAAACTTATACACATCTGAGTATAATTTTATCAATCTACTTCATATCGTTCGGAATATAGAGTGATCCTAATTTACAGCAAGTTCTGGTAAATATTGCGACTAAAACACCCAAAAAACCTAAAATCTGTCGGTACAGTTACATAGAGACTACACCAAAACTTGGACCTATATAGCCCAAAATATATGTACACCAAAAGTTTTGCATACTTTATACCCATCTGAGTATAATTTTATTAACCTACTTCATATTGTTCGGAAGCTAGAGTGATTTCCAAAGACAGACAGACGAACGAACCCTAAATCGACATAAAATTTTATGCTGATCAAGAATATATATCCTTTGTGAGGTCTAACATTTATATTTCGAGGTGTTACGAACAGAATGAAAAACTTAATATACCCTCCATACTATGGTGGAGGATATAAAAGGGACAATGCCAAACTGTATCATTTTCTGGATGCATTGGAAGCTTTTGCAATGTTTCTGGCTGATCTTCACTTCAAATTGTACAATTCTGCTTAGTTACGTAGTCATTGAGTCGATAAAGAGCTTCGTCTTTAAACACGAGAAGCGGCGATGAACATTCGTGACAGAGAACGCACTTTGATAGTAAAATTTTTTAATTTCGTTTTTAAGGCGACTCATGGTTAAATTATAGACAAAACTGAAGTGGTTTGACAGTGAAACAAAACACGAAACGTACTTGAGCTGTTTAAACCCGTGTTGCCAAAAAATAATATCTAAAAGTCATACTTTACAAATAGTGCCGACAAAGAACTAAGCCATGTCTACTTTGAGGGGAAACTAAGATGTCTTTTTAAATCCAGGCATGTTGTTGGGCGCCACGTTACAATATCAGATGGGGCAGATTGACGAAATTTGAAAAACACTTGAAGTTTTTTTCAAGTAGTTGTTCTGGATTCAAGAAAATGGTATTTGGGTGCCGATCAATCCTCTGTGTTGGTGCATATCTTTGAACTCTTCAAAATATGTACCGTTCCAAGGTGAATACAATATCGAGCCGCTTTTACAGTTAATGTCTTGTGGAACACTTTGTGCATCTTTTTCATTTATAAAATATCATTTAAAGGGGTTATTTTATGCCTTATATCTACAAAAGAACTTTTGAAGGCCTTTTATTTTTAGAAGATAAAACACTATACTGGGCTACTATCCGTAGGAGACCTTCTAAAAATGTTCATTATAACTACTTTAAGGATAAAATTAAATTAAATTTTAAATCTTCTGAACATTTTCATTATAACTCATTTAAGGATAACATTAAATTACATTTTAAACCCTGTCATGGAAATCATGTTAGGGCGCCACAAAAGGTATTCTCTAATAGAATACCTATAGAAGATCTTCTATCAATAAAACACTTGTAGAATATTTGAAACGATTTGTATGGATGGACAGCCAACGAAACCACAAATCTCTTTTTGGAGGAAATTAAATGGATATTTTATATCTAAATAAGAGATTGGGCGCCACAATCGTAGTTTTCGATTTCCACCATTCTATGCGCATCTCAGTAAAGGATCTAATGATTTTATAGAAACTAATGTCGCCTGAAATTTTTTTCTCATTTTGTATAGAGTTTGTATAAAGATTTTCTGCGGTGTTGACTTTATCTCTGAAAAACCCAAATTCCAAATCATAGTAAAGAATTTAAGAAAAGGTGGGTGAAAACTTACCAAGTTCCAGGTATAAGTCAAAAATTAGTATTCTAGGAAGATCTCTTCAAAAGCTTGATACGTCTGCGATTGACATATGCAAATCGTCTAAGCTTTTAATGTTATTTCGATTATGTAAAAACTAAATTTTAGGCATTACGGTCCTTAATAAAATATTTGGCTAAAATGCCAAAAAAGTCCTTAGATCGGGTGGTAAAGTCGTAAGGGCTCTATACAACAGGGCTCTATATACAATTTTGGTTATGAAATAAGATTTAGTTGACGTCTAAAGGGATTATTTCGAATAGAGACAACTGTAATAACAATCTCATACACAATATCTGTAAAATTATTTTTATAGTCACGGCGCCATCTTGTGGGGAATAGTATAACAAACATTAAACATTTTATTAACAGCTGTTAGATTACTTAACAGTCCTCATCTTTGTTTATTACAGCGGGAATTGAACTTCCGTTAAAGAAAAGTTCTTTTAAAATAATGTTCTGTTAAATGTAAATGTCTCCAAAAGTTTATTTAAAAGTTCAACTATAGAAGCTTTTATAAAAGCCACATTTATTAAAGAAAAAAGCACACTATTTACAACAGATTGTTAACTTTCAATAAAATCAAAAAGATGCTAGACATGTAGCCAACAATAAAGCACATCATAGAAAACAAAGCCAAATTAAGATTTAGCCAACCAATCATCCATTTAAAACTAAATGGCAAATTCATCTTCTTGGTCCCGGTAATTTTTTCATATTTTGTCCATGGTTAGTTCTGCATTTATGTATCGGCATCTATCTAACGTCCGAACGACCGCATTTTCTTGCAAGAAAAAAATGCAGGCCGGCTGACTTGAAGATGGGCATTTCTGGTAGTGGTTTGTTTGCAATACTCCCAGCTGTTTGCAATACGGTGTTGTTGTTGTGTGTCTATGTGTGCCCACAACCAGTGGCATTTGGCTTGTTTTGGTTCTTGTTAGTCGTCGTCGTCGTCTTCTTTTGGTCTGCAGCAAGAAGATGATTGGCGAGTTGTTATTCGTCTGCCAGCGAATTGGGATATATGTGTCAGAGCTAAATTCGAAGTATAAACAATTCAATGTAGTTTATGTGTGTTAAACGTTGTGGCACGAGTGACCCATTTTCCTTTTGTTTTTTTGCAAACGATAGCGAAATGAACGTCGACAGGGGGATAGCGATTTATAGATGCATGAGATTTTCATTAATAAATTTCATTGTGTACGCTAAATGAACTTTAAAAGGTAATATCAATGAATCATCAGCAATGTGATTAGAGTAAATGGGGATTTGAAAGGAATATTGCAGTGAATGCAAAACCCATCGAAAAGTTAATGGTAAAGTGGATACAAGGAAAATATAAAAGGATAAATTTGATTTTTACTTCATTTAGAGAACTTAATAATTTGTAACAAAACCGCCTATCATGCGAAATCTTAAATTAGGACAAAATCTCTAAACCATTTAAATTTTAATTTAAAAATTTAAATTTTTGGTATA